AAATTGACTCATTCACCCTACATCTTTATCAATTAGAATAAGGGCAGCAAAAGGAGCCTCTAGTTAACTGGGGGGAAAAAGAGAGAAAGAAATAATAGATTAGAGCAGAAATAAATAGTTTAGAAAACAGAAAATAATTGGAAAAATATCATTAATACTTGAAGTTTTTTTTTTCAATGAAAGAACTAACCAAATCGACACACCACTGGCAAATTTAACATATGAAGGAGCAAATATTATGAATAAGAGATGTTAAGACAACATAATAACAGAACTAACTGACATAAAATCATAATAACACATCACTATGAGGGACTATACTACAAGGTACTTGAAAACCTAACTCAAAGGGACATAGTTTTAGAAAGAAACTACCAACCTAAATTACCAGAGTGATGTAGAAAACGCCATCAGACCCAGAACAAAAAAAAAAGGTCATTAAAAACTCCCAACCAAAAAACCAGGACCAGTGGCTTCACTGGGAAATTTTAACATTCAGAGAGGAATTGATACACATTCCACACACTATTTCAGAATATAGAAAAGGACAGGAAACCACTGAGCTCATTTTATGGAGCCAGCTTACCCTGATACTAGCACCAGGCAAAGACATAATGAGAACAGAAAATTGCAGACCCCTATTCTTTATGGACATATATGCTAAACTTTTGGACAAAATCCTGGCCAATAACGTTCAACAAAATAGCAAAGAAATAACACATCCGGATCATGTGGGATTCATGCCTGGTATGCAAGGATAGTTCAGCATTAGAAAAACTATCAATACAATTCGCGATACAAATAAAACAAAATAAAAAAACTATATGGTAATATCAATTGATACAGAAAAAGAATTGGACAAAATTCAACCCCCATTCCTAGTAAAAATTCTAACCAAAATAGGAAAACAAGGGAACTTTCTCAACACAGTAAATGTCACATACACAAACCAATGTCCGATATCTCTTTGAATGGGGAGAAAGTGAAAGCGTTCTCCTTGCACACCAAAGCTAGACAGATGCCTTTTATCACCGCTCATATTTAGTATGTGCTGGAAATCTTAGCTAGAATTATTAGACCCAAAAGAGAAACCAAAGGCTCCCAGTTGGCAGAGAAGAACTAAAACTCTGTCTTCAGCTGATATGATTTTATATGCAGAAAACCCCAGTGTCTCAACAAAACATTTTGCAAATAATTGAAAGTTAGAAAATGTGGCAAATGCAAGATCAACACACAAGAATCAGTCTGATTCCTGAATACAAATGAAGAGATCTCTGAAAAGGAAAAGCAGGAAAATAGGATCACTTACAGTAACTACAGAAAATATTGTCTATTTAGGAATAAACGCAACTAGAGAAACAAAAAACTTGTACCAAAAAAACCCCTATAGAACACTACTACACGAAACCTGTAGAGCCTATGTAAATTGAAAAAATGTTCCTTATTCAAGGATAGGAAGGTTTAACATTGTGAAAATGTCAATGGTACCCAAGCTAATCTATAAATGTAATGCATTCCAGATCCATCATCTTTAAAGAGGTGGAAAAACTAATCACCAACTTTATTTTGAAAAGAAGGGGACCCAACATAAGCACAACACTTCAAAAAAAGGACGAGGTTGGGTGCCTCTCACTTCCTCACCTCAAAACCTACCACACAGCTAAGGTAATGAAAGCAGCCTGAGACTCTGATAGCAATAGAGACATCACTCAAAAGAATGGAATATAGATCCCAGAAATAAATTCATCCACCTGTTGACACTAATTTTTGACAAGGGCCAAAATACATTACATGGGAAAAGATAGTTTCTTTTCCATTTACAGAAGAACGAAATAGGAACCATGCCTCACACCATACACAAAAACCAACTCACGATGTATCCAGATGGAGATGTAACGTTAAAGATCATCAGTGAAAAAATAGGGACAAGCCGAAGTGCTGAACTGTTTGTTCACCATTCTCTGCCCGTTTAAAAAACTGCATCGTTCATCTTTTTATTGTTGAGGTGTTGCAGCTTTCGATAGATTTTGGAGATTAGTCCCTGGCCTGACTAATTCTGCCAAATTTATATTCAGTCTATTGGTTCTCTTTTTACTTTTTTTAAAATGCACACAACTGTCTTATTTTAAGGAGATCTCGGTCCTCTTTTTCTTCTTGTGTTTTGTTGTATTTGAGAGTGTGTTTTTGCCAAGAAACATATGAAGGCAGCTGACAAACATGAAGAAATGCTGTCACTAGCCCTTCAAGAGATTCAAATCAAAATAATGAGTTATTACCTCACATTGCCACTGATAGCAAAGTTCAAAAAGCAAAAACAAAACCAGAATATAACCAGTGCTGAGAGATTGGAATACACTGCTGGTGGAACTGTGAAACTATATCACCATTGTGCAAAGTGGTGTGGTGCCTGCTCAAACTGGGAGTAGAAATACCTTATGACCCAGCAGCCTCTCTACTTGTGTCTCCCCTAAATAAATGAGTGCCGTGGCATGAACAGGTAGATGCGCACCTATGCTCATTGCAGCACTGTGCAGAGAGCAAGAAAATGAAACATCCTCCATTCCCGTCAGGGGATAAGTGGGTAAATAAATGTTGGTCTATGAAACATTGGATGCTACATGACACTAAAGAACAGTGATGAGACTGCAAAATCCCACCTGGCATGCTTAGATTTGGAGGACATTATGGGAAATGAGGTTAGTCAATCACAAATGGACAAATATTATATGAAACCATTGTTATAAAAGAAGAAAAACAAGGTAAAGCTTGCTCAGACGCAAAGCGGCAGACTGATGGCTCCCAGGGGTGGGGGGCGAGGAGGAGGAAGGGGAAGCAGTAACTGGAGGGTAGCCAGATGTTCTCTGACGGGAAGAGCAGATGATATTCTACATGAGGGGGTGGGGAGGGCACAGCAAGTTAACGGTGTAGTTGTTTAAATTGTCAGATTGTTGAATACAAAAACTATTGATCTGAATTTTAAACCCCCACTTAATACACAATACAAAGTTAAACAACGAGAGAAATCTTCTTCAGTGATTCTAGTGCAAATCCAGGTGAGCCCCACTGCTGTGGGTGTGCTCTGCATGTTTTACTACCAAGCCTCTGTCACATTGCGCATACTTCCCCACCACCGGACGTGAGAATCCTCTGCGTCATCCAGGCAAAAATTCGACTCGGTCTTTGAGAGGAAGCCTGTGCGGGTCCTGGCCTGCTCTTCCCCTTCTGTCCTCACACCCTGCACACAGATGCTTTCGGGCTGCAACTCCACTGCCACAGACTCAGCTATTTCCTATCATGTATCTGTGTTGAAATGATTCAATAACTAGATGCGAACATTTCTATGACTCATATGCGTACATGCACTTGTAAATACACAGAGATCTGAAAGTCTAACCACCACATTATTAAGCGATCTTAAGTCTGAAGAGACAGATTTGGTTAGAGCTTTGATTATTTTAAAGCCAGCACACAGTTTTCATTTTTAAATGTCTGTGGTTAGGGTATAAGAGATAAATGATCGTATCAAAGAGGAGGCACATGGTGTTGAAATAATGCTCTGAGTTTTCTCTTGGGAGGACTCTTGTTTTGTTTGTATAATTAATTTTTTAAAATAAATCATTTTATTGGGGGCTCATACAGCTCCTAACAATTCATAGATGAGTTGTATCAAGCACATTTGTACATATGTTACCATCATTATTTCCAAATTTTCTTTCTACTTGAGCGCTTGGTATCAGCTCCTCTTTTTCCCTCCCTCCCCACCTTTCCTGAGAGGACTCTGACCCCTCTTCGAGTCATGATCCCAATTTTGGACTGGGCTTCCTACTTTTGAGGTCCTTTGTCTTCTGCTCTCCTATTCTTTTGTTTATTAAATCCTCAGAAGATCAGAAGGATGATCATATAATGAGGGAGGAGTGATTCAGTTTCCCTAAATTTCAGCCATAAAGAGGAAGCAAATCTAAACTCATTTCTTTTGATTCGGATCTGTGGTGGTCTTGGGCGGCACAAACTCCATGTGCTAGACTACCAGCTAAAAAGCTGGTGTTAGAAGACCCCAAACAACAAACAAAACATTGTTGAGAACGAGGGGTGTCGGAGCACAGACCCCATACTCATCTGGAGAGAAAAGGACATCCCCTCACAGAAGGGTGACAAGGAAGGGTTGAGTCAGCTAGGGTGCAGTATAGCACCAATGAAACACACAGGGTTCTTTGAGGCTTCCTCACGCCCCACCATCATGACCCCAGTCCTGCCTTTCAGTTCTGGCTAGACCGGAGCATGTACAGTGGTACAGGTAAGAGCTCACGACATGGAGAATCCAGGTCAGAACCCCCTCCCCCTCCCCCCTGAACAGAAATGGGAGTAGTGATACCAGGAGGATAGGGGGGAGATGAGAGAGGAGGGGAGGAAGGGGGAACCGAGGATAAGGATTGCACAATACTTACCCCTTCCGACAAACCCCCCCCCCCACGCCCCTGCCACCTTCTGCCCAGGGAGATGAACAACAGAAACATGGGTGAACAGAGACAACACTTGATGTAAGATATGAAAACAACAATAATTTATAATTTATCAAGTGGTCACAAGGGTGGGAGGGGTGGGGAGGGAGGGAAAAAAGAGGAGCTGTTACCAAGGACTCAAATAGAAAGTAAATGTTTAGAAAATGATGATGGCAACATATGTTCAAGTATGATGTATGGAATGTTTTAAGAGCTTTAAGAGCCCTCAATAAAATGATTTAAAAATAAACTAAAAGGCTGTTGTTTCTAATCTACCGTATGGATCTGTGTAAGAAAGATCTGGTGGTCTGTTTGCATCAAGGTTATAGTCAAGAAAACTCCGGAACTCTGTCACACATGAGTCTCCATGATAAATAACTGCCATCTTTTCCGAAGGGTTTGTCTTGAGCTGTTATAAATTTGACCATGGGCAGAGAGAGGTCAATTTGTATCCTTCTTCTGACAACCTGTATCTTTCTTGTACAGGTAAACTGCGGCACTGAAGCTCGAAGGATGGATAGAGACTTCCGTTATTATTTCCAGCATCCCTGGTCACGCCTAATTGTGGCTTACTTGGTGATCTTCTTTAACTTCCTAATATTTGCGGAGGACCCAGTTTCTCATAGCCAAACAGAAGCCAATGTCCTTGTTGTTGGAAACTGTTTTTCATTTGTAACAAATAAATACCCTAGAGGAGTTGGCTGGAGGCTTCTGAAAGTGCTTCTATGGCTACTTGCCATTCTCATAGGACTAATAGCTGGCAAATTCCTGTTCCATCAGAGTTTGTTTGGTAAGTACCATTACCCATGAAATAGAACATGGCTAATTGTTTGGTTTCCGTTCTCCCAGAGAAAATGTTGTCATTTCTAATGCTACTACTGGATGCATTTTATTTTATCCTCCAGCCTTAATTTGTTCGGCACTGTTCTAACTAGGTTCTTTAATTATTCTGTTTAATGGTGTAGTTTTCCTACTGCTTAAGGAAAATTAGTACAAGATAAAATTAGAACCAAACTTAATTATATAAAAAGGCTTTAGCATTAAATGAATGTGTATTATTTAGAGAAGGCAATAAAATAGCTCTCTTCCCATAAGTAGTATATACCGTCAAACTCACACCTCTTTCTATCAAGTCTGCTCTGACTTTTAGAAGCCCCATAGGACACAGTAGATGGCTCTCTAGGGTTTTGAGGCTAGAAATCTTTATGGGAACAGACGCCCTCATCTTTCTCCCGTGGAGCTGCTTATGGACTCAAACTGCTGACCTTGTGGTAGCAGCCATCAGGATTCCCAAGTCAGTACCTAGGTATGGTGTAATAAAGAGTTCTGAAATCACGAGGATGACTCCATAGTACACTACTTCTTCAATAAAGGATGCTAAGCATTACCCATACACATATTATTTGTGTAAGGGATTAAAAGTGGAATCCTAACTTTTGCCTGTAATTTCGCCTCTTTGAACATTGCCTTTAGACTGTTAATTTTGAGCCTATTCAGCCTTAGAACAGCATCATCAGTAGGAAATCTCTTGGTAGTAAGCAACAGACACCAAGACCAAATTAACTTATATTAAAAAGGTGACTTACTAACCACGGAACCAGTGCGAGCTGGCACTCGAGAGCGTGCCTTGTTCTTCCAGGTCCTGCAGATTGGCCACTGCTCTCCGGGTGCGGCCTTCCTATGTTGCTGTTACCCTCTCTTCGTAGACAATGTTTCCCTTTCCTTTTCTCATGGGCTTCCATGTTACCTAGGTTCTGGATTTCACAGGTTTTTATTGTGGAAGGATACTGGGACATTTCGTGAGATCAAGGATAGCATTCATCACAGGTCTTTGATTATTTGGAATAGGGCTTGGATTCCCTCAGGGTGCCCTCCCTCTTGACTCCTTTTTGCATACCTGCTTCATTCTCCTTGCACACTGATGATCTGCCCAGAGAGACTGGCTTGATTCTCTTGATACCAGGGTTGAATTCCTAAGGAAGGGAAGGGACTGAAGTAGACATCGTTTTTGTGTAATTCTCAATTCTGGCCTAATTGGGTTTGACCAGAAGGATGGTGAATGCCATTCATTCAACAAATATTCACTGACCACTTATTACATGTCCAGCACTATTCTAGCCAGTAAATCATAGACAAGTCCTCCTAAGCTAAAAGTGTATCTATCCTACAGGAAAAGACATTCAATACCTAAATGTAGCTATAACTTTCATCTACGAATAGGTGATGAGTATTATGGGGAAAGTGAAGAGTTGTCTTTAGATGTCGCCAATTCACTCTCAATTTGCAGCAGTGCTGTGTACAACCGAACGAAACCCTGCCTGGTCTTGTGCCCGCCTCCAGCACATTCATGCCTCTCGCTGAGACCCCTGTGTCAAGCCATCTTGTTGAGGGTCTTCCTCTTTTCTGCTGCCCCTTCAAACAGTATAATGGCAGTATAATGGTTTCTCCTTTGGCTGAGGTTGGCACTTAGACACCACCAGCAGCTTCTTGGGAGAAAGCAGGGGCTTTCTACTCCCGTAAACAGTTACCGTCTCAGAAACCCATAGGGGGCTGCTGTGAGTCAGCATTGATTCGATGGCAGTGAGTTCGGTTCAGTTTCCAACAGCGAAAAAGAGGGAGAGAGAGTAAATAGTCCTAAATAGCACATCTGATCCAATTAGGAAGAGAACATAATAATAGAGCCGTGAATGTAGTCATTTTAAAGCACAGGTAATTTAGTGAAGGTATTTGTAAGACAGACATGAGGTTAGAAGTAGAAATTGTTTAAAGGATAAACAGATACATACTCATCTATTTATGTACTTTGTGTAAAAATTTCATGATTTTCATGAACTGCTTGAAGCCCCATTGTATATCGAGTATTACTTAAAAAATGAAACCAGACCCAGTGCTAATAAGTTGATTCTGACTTGTAGCAGCCTTACAGGAGAGTAGAATTTCCCTAGAGTATCCAAGGCTGGAAATCTTTATGGACTCAGACTGCCATATCATTCTCCTGTGGGCTGCATTTGAACCACCGACCTTTGGTTGGCAACAAAGTACTTTAACCACAGTGATTATATTGCCTATAGATTATTCTCTATCTCTAATGCTGCTCAAGAAGCCCTACCGGGGTAGTGGCTACATATTTTGCTGCAATGTTTGAAACCACCAGCCGGTCTGTGGGAGAAATTAACACTTACAGTGTCAGAAGGTCACAGGGACAGTTCTACCCTGTCCTTTAGGGTCACTGGGAGTCAGCATAGACTTGATGGCAGTAATTTTGAGAGTGAATATTTCTCAAACTATTGCCATCTGTTTCTGGTGCGTACATGTGTAATAAGTCTGTTTTCTATTATTGTATGTGTGTGTGTTCATATGCATGTTGTTATTATTAGATGCCATAGAATGAATTCTGACTTATAGAGACCCTGTGTGCAACAGAGTGAAATATTGCCTGATCTGTGCTATCCTCACAATCATTTGAACCCATGTATATGTGTATATATGAAGGGGTACCCCCCAGAAATGTAACTTTGTTTCAAAGCTATGTATATACTTTTTTTTTTTTTTTAACAAAACAACCTTACCACTTTCAAAGTACTCTCCGTTACACTTAATACATTTGTCAAATCTGTGATTCCATCTTGGAAACACGTTTCAAACTCATCTGTTCGGATGGCTGACAGCATCTTCCTCATTTTTTTCTTCACCTCATCTATGTCCTCAAATCATTGTCCTTCTGCATTTGCAAAAATAAAAATAGATCTCACAAGTGAGGTCAGGTGAGTTAAGTGCGTAGGGAAAGAGAGGCATGCTGTTTTTTGCCAAAAACCGGCACACTGAGATGGCTGCGTGAGCAGGTGCATTGTCGTGGTGGCAAAACCAATCCCCCATCTGCCACAAATCAGGCCTTTTTTGTCACACACTGTTATGCAATCTTTTCAGAACCTCTAAATGGAAAGCTTGATTAACAGTCTGACCTGGTGGAACGAACTCCAAATGCACTATCCCCCTCACATTACAAAACCAAATGAGCATCATCTTGATTTTTGATTTCACTTGATGAGCTTCATTGGGGTGGGGTGACAATGGCATCTTCCAATGGCTGATTGGTGTTTGCTCTTGGGGTTGTAAGAATAGCACCATGTGTAGTCGCCAGCAATGACCTTGGGGAAAAAAACGTCTGGGTTGCTTTGGAGCTGTTCTTTCAAAGCATGGCATGTTTCACTTAATGCTCCTTTTCCGGTCAGTCAGAACCGGAGACACAAATGCGCAGCAACACGTCTCATTCCCAAATCTTCTGTTCGACTTTGCTGAACCTGTTCCACATTATAGAAAAGATCCCAGAGTCTCTTGACCACCAGTGTTCTCTTGACCTACTAACAAATGCCTCTACCCTTGTTCCCAAATAACTAGCGTTCTGCATAGAATTTATGCTTTAAGGTAACATTTAAGCCTCAAAGTATTTGTTGGTACAGGTTGTGGTAGCTGGAACTGAGGATGATGTTTGTACGCAGGGAGGGGATTCTTTACTGCTAGCACAGGCTTTTTGTTATAGAAATATTGGAATGCTTTACAAAATTTTCAGAAGCATTTTGTAAGATCAACTGAGTCGTTTAATCTTTTTTCTTCCATCTGTTTATAGAATTCCAAAGGTCAACATTAAGTGGAATGCCCCTACTCTGTTCATTACCACTTTCATTTCAATCGCTTGTCTTTCCTTACTTTTTTTTTTTTAATGAAAATTCTCTTCGTAGTTGACTCCAAAGGGCAGGATTGCCAACTGTGAGGATTTGTGAGGAAGGTGACTGACTGTGAACACCTGTTCTAATCTGAGTCATGGACACATTGCTGGCCATCGAATCAGTCCTGACTCACAGTGATGCCGAAAGACAGGATAGAACTGCCCCCGTGGGTTCCCAAGGCTCCTGCTGTACACGGAGTAAAAAGCCCCATCTTTCTTCTGTGCAATGGATGGCATGTCCTTGTCCTCAGCAGCCCAATTTGTAACCCAGTGTGCCACCAAGTGCAACTCCTTAATCTAAGCCATACGTTATTGATTTTACTTTTGATGGGACATAAATATTAACAATTGCCTGACTAGTTAGCTGCATGGACTCTTTCATGATCTATACTTTGTCGTAGGAATTGTTCCTCAGAAGAATGGTGACTCATGCATTTGTAAAGGACATATTATCAGTGACACATGATTAAATTTATTTTAAATTATCTTTCTCGTCACTGTAAGGTTGGAACAACTTAAGCAAGTCAATTTTCCTACATATTGCCACAAAATTTTTATGAGTTACAACAGGTTGCTAACCCTAGATTTCCTAAATATAGAATATAAATGAGGAGCACAAGTCCACTCAGAATTGGTCCATTTGGAAAGAAATCCTTAGGTTTTTAATTCTCATCCTTGTTGAGGTGAGTCGCACATGAGGATTGTATTAGAGATGAGCAGGAGTTACGGAGCAATGGTATGCTGGCTCCAAATTTTTTACGCGTCAGTTTTTATTTTTTTCCCCCAAACCTTCTCATTGGGAGGTTATATAGGTATCATTATAATTCCACAGTTCCATCACATCAAACAGTATTGTACAATTGCTACCATAATCAATTTTAAAACATTCGCTTTCTTCTTGAATACCTTGATATCATCTTCCCTTTACCCTTCCCCACTCGACTCCCCAGGAACCCTTTTTCTATATGCTGTCTTATAGGTTCATCAGTCTTGGGTGTCATACACCAAAAAACAGGAACACATATAGCAAAAATTCAAGAGGGTTACCTCCAATGACAAAAACA